GCCAGGGGTGGACAGTTATTTTGGCTCCCCCCCACCCCCCGATGAATTTGTAGGCAGCCACAAGTTCACCTCTCAGCCTTTTCTTGTGGAGGCTGAAGAGATCCAGGTCCCTCAATCTTTCCTCATAGGACTTTGCCTGCAGGCCCCTAACCATATGAGTGGCCCTCCTCTGAACCATCTTGAGGTTGTCCACATCTCTCTTGAAGTGTGGCGCCCAAAACTGCATGCAGTACTCCAACTGTGGCCTGACCAAAGCTGCGTAGAGGGAAAGTATCACCTCCCTGGACCTGTTCGTCATGCACTGGCTAACGTATGATAAAGTGCAGTTAGCCTTGTTGATCACTTCATCACATTTACGACTCATGTTCATCTTGGTGTCAACAATGACTCTGGGATCCCTTTCCACTGCTGTGCTGCTGAGAAAGTCATCCCACACCTTGTAAGGGTGCTGGTGATTCCTTCTCCCTAGTTGCAGCACTTTGCACTTGTCTTTCTTGAACTGCATCCTATTCTGTTCTGCCCACTTTTTCCAGCCTGTCCAGATTTGCCTGGATTCATTCCCTGCCCTTCAGTGTGTTAACTTTACCCCATAATTTGGTATCGTCTGTGAATTTGGATAGAGTACTTTCTATGTCCTCATACAAGTCACTGATGAAGACACTGGACAGGACAGGTCCAAGGACTGAGTCTTGTGGGACTCCACTGCCCACATGTTTCCAGGTTGATACCAATCCATTCATCACCACTGTCTGGGTGCGACCCCTAAGCCAATTTGCCACCCACCTGACTGTGTAACCATCTACATCACAGCTGCTCAGTTTTTTTATGAGAATAGGATCAGATACCATATCAAAGGCCTTCTTAAAATCCGAGTAAATGACACCTACCTTGACTCCTGCATCTAAGCAATTTGTGACCTGGTCAGAAAAAGAAACAAGGTTAGTCAGGCAGGATCTACCTGCTATGAATCTACCCTTCAGCATATTTTTCCTGCTGGACTCCCGCAAATGTGATCCTTAATTTTTTCAAAGGTTTTCCGAAGGATAGAGGTGAGACTAACCGGTCTATAGTTTCTCAGATCCTGCTTCCTCCCCTTCTTGAAAATAAGGACCACATTGGTCCTTTCCAGCCCTCTGGGACCTGACCTGAGCACCATGAGTGCTCAAAGGCTGTACCAGTGGCTCTGCTATGACACTGGCCAATTCTTTTAGCACCTTTGGATGAAGATCATCTGGGCCTGCTGATTTAAACACATCCAGTCCTTCCAAGTGCCTCTTCACCAAGTTGGCATTAACAGTTGGTAGGCTGGTGTCCCTTTTGTGCCTGTCTATGATCCAATTGGGAGATTTGTCCTGATCTGTTCAGGAATACAGAAGCAAAAACTCACTGAAGAGCTCAGGTTGTCCCCTATCTGTCACTAATTGCCCTAGTTAGTCCTGTAGGGGTCCTATGCTACTCTGTGCCTTCTTTTTACTCCCTACTTACCTGAAGGAGGACTTTTTGTTGTCTTTATTTTTGTTGCCAGCCTAAGTTGCATTTCTGCTTTGGCCTTTCTAACTGCCTCCCTGCAAGTGTGGGTCAAGTAGCCTTGGTAGCTACCCCCCGCTTCCACAGCCTATATGCCTCTTCTTTTGCCCCTAGGCTTTCCTGGATTTCCCTGTTCAGCCAAGAGGGTTTCTTGGCCCCTTTGCTCCCTTTCGTATGCAATGGGATTGTCTCCTTCTGTGCCCATAGGATCACTCCCTTTAGGAACAACCACTCTTCCTGGACTCCCAACTTATCAATGCTCCTGTTCTTCAGTGCCTCACTAAGTAATCTTTTGAGCATACTGAAGTTAGCTTCTCTGAAGTCTAGCACTTCTGCCCTACTGGTTATCTTTCCCACCTATGCCTGATAGTGAATTCAATCAAGTGATGGTCACTGTCCCCTAGGTTACCTCATGTCTTTAGATCCCCCACCAAGCCATCCCCTGTAGCCACCAACAAGTCCAGTAAGGCATTTCCCCTAGTGGGACCGTATACCTTCAGTGTTAGGTGAAGATCCTGTATGTAGGTTAAGAATCTATGTGAATGGTTGGATCTAGCTGATTGCTCCTCCCAGCAGATGTCAGGGTAGTTTAGGTCTCCCATGACAATCATGTCCCTTGACCGTATGGCCTTTGAGAGCTGTCTGGAGAATTCCAGGTCCAGCTCATCCTCCTGATGTGGTGGCCTGTAGTAGACCCCACTACCAAGTCCCTTTCCCCTTGACCCCCTTGTATTCTGACCAACAGTACCTCAATTTGCCCCTCCTCTGATCCCATTGATTATGGAAGATGTATATTGCTCCTTAACATAGACAGCAACACCCCCTTTTTTCCCTACTCTATCACATCTTTACAGCCTATAGCCCTCAATGCTTACTGCCCAATCGTGGGTAGGGTCCCACCAGGTTTCAGTTAGCAATGTTAGGTGTGCAACATGATTAGGTGCAATGTTAGCAATGTTTGGTGTGCAAACCCAGACATTTCAAATAGGAATCCAAAAATTCTGACTTGTGGTATGAGTTCTTTGCAATAGAAACTGTTCTTTTATTTTTCCATAATCAAAAAATGAGTGAAAACTAAGAACCGGCATTTTCCAAGGGGTGTCTTGAGTCTAATGAGGAGTGCCTCAAATCTAAAAATGTTGAAAACCACTGGTTTAGGTGCTCAGGTCTTCAGTCCACTCATCCGAGGAACCTGACCTTGCTTCTCCTAGTTTCCTCCTAGATTAATTCCATCATGGTGCCACTCTTTTTGAGAGAGCTTTTAGCATGTGTGCTCATGTGCAGTGGATGGGACCAGCATAAAAATATGG